TTTTATGTTATGAATTTTTTTTTTTTATTTATTTATTTTCTTTTTTTTTGTCTCAATCCCGTGCTCTTCGTTCTTCGCGGCAGCCGTACATCCTCGCGTCCAATGCTTGTCTAAAAAGTCAAAGCTAATAAAACTGTAAAATGTAATAAAAATTAAAAAGAAATAAAAACGAATTTAATTCTAACGAGTCTACTCTTTGCATACATATAAGTATCGTATCTATGTATGCATATGTTTATGTTATTCTTCTAGTTGTGTTCGTTAGTGTTTATATATGTATGTAATTGTGTTCTTGTAGTTATTCTCGACTTGACGATGTTTTATTGTATACGACTGGGATCAAGCAAAGTATCCAAAAAGAATCGCCGTGCGGCCATAGTGACTATGACTAGCAATCACGCTTTGGTACTTTGATATCATATATGTTCGCCTCGCGCGTTGGGGGGGCGCCTACGTCTTTACGTGTATGCCTGGATTTTAGTACCTTGTTTTTTCTTTTCTCTTCTCTTCTTTCTTTTTTTTTTTTTTTGCTATTATTATTATTATTTTTATATTTTTTTTTTATTACTTTTTTTAGTCTCATCGCTGAGTATTTACGCGTTAAATGAACGGTTTTATTTGAAAAAAAAAAAAAAAAAAAATTTTTTTTCTATAAAGACAATTAAGCAAATCTAAGGACTTTGTATTCTCCTCTATGCACACGCATACGACTATGCACACATATACCTATAGATGGTATAGAATATAAAAAAAAAGTGTTTGGGATTTAAGTTTGATAAACTTACTAAAAATTGAATTAAAACTTAAAAAGAACTCAATGAAATTAACATGCAAAGAAGAAAAACCGTGAATAGTCTGTGTATGGCTTAAAGCGAATTTTGAATTTTCTCCAGTGTAGGTTAACAATATTCCTTGCGCAGCATTAAAAAAGTACATGAAAAAAGTGCGAATACATTAAATATACACTAGGATTTGTTTTTTTAAAAAGCGGTCGTCAAGGTATAGTGGAACTCAAGTCAATGTGGGACTCACGTTTACTAAAACCCGCATACGTGTCTCGCCCTATTTCTCGCGCAACTATCGCTACTTAGTACATCGGGAGAATTGTCTGAGCCTTGGCTCAACTCTTAGAAAGATTTCTTTTCTCTTAGTTTAAGCGTTCATTTTACTTAACCCTTGTGTTCGAGTCCAATTTTCTGAGTAGCACAGCAACGACATTACTGGATTATCCTATGTCTGATTTTAAAGTATTCCCTGTAGTTGCGGAAAATGCTTAACTCAATGTATTTCGATGTATTTTCCAGTTTGTAAAACAATTGCAACTTGTAAGCTTGTAATGCTCAGTACATTATGAAATTTTCACAAATTTCGCCTGAAGATAAGTGTCATCTGAAAATCATATAGACTCCCCATCTATTTCCCATCTATATGGCATCCTACGAACTTATTGAGTCATGTGCAACATAGTTTTCTTATCTAAAGAAATGTACTTTCCACGTTTAATGCAACCATTCATCGGGCCATATTTTCACACCTTCGCATAGAGCCTTGAGTGGGCGGGCGCGACGCCTGGACTAGCACTTCCTGCTTGACTCTTTTGAACGTATCGCAAACCAATTTTGCACTATGTGATGAAACATTATCTAGGAAGAAAGATCTCGGGTTAATTTTTCCTGAAATATCACAGAGATGACCGTTAAAAACCTAATAATATTAATAAAATATTCTAGAAAGGATTCATGAGTTCGGTTTCTTGAGATGATTTCAACATTTTTATAACTTAACGTAAAAGTTATGGAACGTTATACTACATTATTAATGAGAATAAAGAAGTTAAATCTAGCCGCCTAACCGAGAAACAAATTCTGTTGAATACCGAAAAGACTGAAAAACCTCACACATATAGTAAACGGTAATCTTAGAGAATGTTCAGAAGATCTCTATAAAAACTGGATAGTTATAGGGCGAAGCAAGCGTAGTGTTTCATGTTTCTTTGCTCATTGCCTCCCAATTAACTCGAATACTCGATAACTCGATAATAATAAATCGATATACTCGAACTCGTGCAGACCGATGTACATTGCTTAAAGCATATATATCTTATTAAGCCGGCCCCTTTACGAGTTAGGTATTATTTGCTTGCATTGTAAATTAAAAAATTTAAGAAAAATATATAAAATTCCTTGTCTGCTATGCTGCACTGCATTAGATGCTCCGCTAAGCTTTGTTTTAGACAGGTTAAAAATCAATAAAGAGATATATTAAGTGCTTGCATTTATTTTGATCATTTTTTTCACTTGAAAAAGGAGTTTGTTGAGAAGAAATGGTCTGATATATACTGATCCAAATGGCAACATGGGCGATATCGTGTCGAAAGAACGATATTGGCTTGGCAGCGATCCAATTATCGACTCATTTTCGCGCTTCGTCTGCCTTTTGAAACTGCGTGCCAGCCAAGTCGTGCTGTATCGATCTGAACAAGTGATAATGAGAAGCCGCTATATGTGGTAAGTATGCGGGGAGCGGCAGAGCAATACATCTTTCAATTTGTTCAATTGACGTCGATAAAGATCTACAATAACAGTTTCATCCGATTTAACAGTACGCTACACCTTGCTGATCCCATGGCGCACAGCAAAACTCTATGGCCATGAATATTCCGCGTCTGTGTCGATGTAGATGGCTGTCCTGGCCCATGGCTTTTGGCGCTTAAGATTGTCGTAGTTGATCCACTTTTCATAGCCAGTCACAAAAAGGTTTTTTCTTTCGCGGTAAATGAAACGGTTCGAAATGCCATTTTCAGTTAATTCGTGTAGATCGTGCTGGTCGTTTCTACATCCGATTACGTATAATGCGGAAAAACATGGATTTTGAAGATGCACTTGTTGCATTTCATCAGCTGGATTTTCTCGCGATTTGTGGAGGTTTTACGCAACTGCGAGAATCTTAATCTCGTTGATGCCTTGTATGCTACAAATTGTTCTTGATTTCGACTTGCGCGCGATTCGTCGTATCTCGTTCTCCTTGATTCTTTTGAATGTGATCGTTATTCTTCCGATTTACTCATTTGTATGTTTCGTTGTCATTGAGTACGTCGACTTCGTGAACATCGTAGTCTTCGCGGCATTCTTCTCTTTTCCGGTTCAGCAATTTTCTCGCTCACTAACAACGTCAACTATTTATTTTCAAACTTAGCATTGACAACAAACCCACTTTGAACATTCATCTATTTATTTTTTTTAATCTGCCTGAGACGAAGCTCAGCGAATCAACCAGAGAATAAAAATGAATTTTATTACATTTAACTATTATTAAATTGTATATGGGGCTAATTCGGCAGAATCATCTAACGAAACTTAGTAATAATTAAATATTATGTAAAAATTTCACATCAATCGAATAAATGGTTTGATTGCTCTTACGTACAAAGCACATTCACTTTTCTATATAGATTACAATTATGGTACTATTAGAAGCTGCAAAAGCTGTCAGATAATGCAAATCCGTGCAGTCATTGCCATTCTTATACTCTACACCAGTTGTAAGGCAAAGGTACACCAAGTTGCGCAGATGTATACAATATCTGGAAGGGCTTGAAATAGACCTATCTTTCATTATATCGATCGTTTGCTTGTCCGTCTGTCCGGTCTTGCATTCAGTCTTCAGGTCTCAATTTTTGAGATATTTCGATGAATCACGGTACAAAGACACGTTTTGCTCCAAGAACATATGCTATTGAGAATGATTCGAATTGGACCACTTTTTCGATCCCTTTCCCATAAAACGCCTCACATTGAAAAGTCCTTATATAAATAACTGTATTAAACAAAGCGGCGTAGGGCATTTGATGGTGGATCCTGACCTCGTAAAATGTTTCTCGTTTAGATTACTTCTTAATAAATTTGTTATGCAGAGTCCATTCCCTATATATTTATGATTCAAGTTAAACGCTATTATTTACAACATAATAATAGGAGAATAAAATAAAATGATAAATATGCGATTGGACCCAAACAACGATTTCACATATAATCTGAGGGGAATCATAGAGAATCGTTGAGGTCATATTCCTTCTTCTAGGCACACCTTTTGAGATGATAAGAGTGATTTGAACGTGTAAGTAGGCAGATATTTATTTATCATAGTCATCTTTATATAGATATTGTTATGATCAAAAGCTAAGGTGATTTGGTCAATTATAATTGCATAGTCTTCATAATATTCAAATAAGTTTCCTTATTGATGGTTTGCCATGATGGAAAAAGCTTATTATGTACAACACCGCGTCAATAGAAGAACACTGTCAACAGGATCTTAATTTTGTAGCGATTTTGATGCGGTTTTTTTCTTGTCGTTTGCATAGATCCAAGTCGCATATCTGGTAATGAATCTTTTCGTGATGTCCTGTTCACAAATTATTTTCTTACAGACTACGTGAGAAAAAAATTTTATGGTTTCATAGGATCCACGTAATATGAATGCAAGACTTACCTTATGGGTTTCTCGATGCTTATTACATACAATACCTAACAAACAATTAACAAATTTAGTATGCCGACTCTTTTAAGTATAGCCAACGCTTTTTCATTCAATTTTTTTAAACATATTTCTACAGGAAATTTTCAGGAGACTTTTATAGAAAAAGTTTTAGTTTTGATTTTAAATTTACGAATTTTTTTTTTTTTTCAATTTTTTAACTTTCCTAACAAACAATATTTTTGTCTATTAAAAATAACTTTTTGTCAAATAACTTTTTTTCATGGAATTATTTTATTTTTTAAGCATTTTAAATGGAGGAAAATAATTTTTAAAAGCCTTAAAAGTTCGAAGACTGTCGTAGAAAGTTTAAAAATATCGCAAAAAGTTTTTAAAAAGCTTTGACTTTGCATTTTAGTAGGTAAGCAGATATTCTCCTTAATTAAGAGTAGAGATCGAATTGTCTACAGTGCTATCAATTCAGAATATCTTTAGATGACCAAAAAGGAGAAGAAGAAGAAAAGCTATGTAATGCAGAATATAATTTCCGGAGCTTTTGCTTTAATCCACGTCAAATAGGAGCGTATGCGTGTATTTATCGAAGGCTGTTGACCGCCACATGCGAAGCCGTAGCTGATCACACCAACGGTAAACAAACGACCCTCACTATCGCGCTGATAAAGAGCACCACCGGAGTCGTACTGGCAAGTATCGCGACCGGAAGTAAAAGTGCAAAAAATGTTGCGAGTTAGTGGAAGTGAAGTCAACTTTTCGCATTGGTTCCGTGGGATAACATCCAGCGTAGTCTTAAGTAAGAGGGAAGACTGTTGTCCGCCAAATGATGTTGTTCCCCAACCTGTTGCCATGACACGATCATTCGGCTCAGGTGCATTGAAGTGGAAGGGCAAGCAAGCCGGAGCCACACCATAATTGAATTCAATGCTAATTAAAGTTTTAAGTAAGGCTATGTCGTTAGAAACTGTGCTGGATGTAGATCTAAAATTTTCATGACTGATGATATTTTGAACTGCAAAGTAACGTGTGAAAGGTGTTTCGAAATCTGTGAAAGCGAAGAAAAGTAAATTTTATTAAAGTGAAAGAATGTAGCAGTGGTAACTAACTTGTATATTACGTATGGTTTATAGCTTTTCGGTTGCGATTATTATTTTACTTAACATCGGTCAATAATTTCCGGAATGAAGAAATCGATGCCATCTTTAGCAAAAAATTTGTATCACTTTTAAAAAGTAACACACACTAAAATTCAAGAAGGCTTGTCAAAATTTCAAATGGAGAGATTCATGGAGAGATTTTAATGACGAAGGAACTCTTCGAATGCAGTCAATTAAACATTGATGGAAACATATCGTTCAACCCAGTTTTACCTTGAACAATATTATTGCAAGCCTTTTTCGTTGAAAACGTGAACCAGTCGATAATTTACTGATTTTGAACGTGGCCATAAGGGCATAGTTGGTGTTGGACGCCCAAGGAAGATGGTTACCTCAGAAAGTATCGACAACATACTGAAAATTGTTCTCGATCTCAATGGAAGAAGTGCATGTCAGTGACTAGTGTGGAAAATCGTGTCTGGCTCCCAAGGACCAGGGAGCACGATGTGAGTCAAATGCTGAGGTCGTTGCGAAAACAGAAACATATTTTGAAGATCTTGACAAATTCTTCTATTAAAAGGCTATTGACAAAGCCTTGGACATATTGAACGGGAATGAAGTCCCGTTGATGACTGGACTTAACAGGTTTCGGCTTACTTTACTTTGTTTCTACTTTGGGATTCCATATCTCAATGTTTATGGATCAATTCTGGGCAGTCCCTGCTGCCAAACTGATCCATGATAAATTTAATAAGACTCGCTTTTTAAAAACAAATCATAATAAAGTTCTAATCTTTTCATTTACCAATCGAAAATTTTCTCCTCTTTATTGAGTTTCGTATCTCTAATATGGAGAAACTGTGAACGATTATTTTCTTACTATACACACCTGTTGACAAATTATGTTCTCCCACAACCACTTGCAGCAATTCTGCTTTATTGGTTTTTGGTGTTAAAAAGCAGTGAGCAGCTGATAGTAGATAATGTTGATGAACTATATATATATGGTGAAAATTCAATTCTTTCTATTACTCAGGTTTTTCTTTCTTTTACGTGTTCAGCAGTATATTTAGAAGATAGAAAATGAAAAAGAATAACAATAAAAAAAAACAAGAGTGGCAATGGAAACTTACTTATAGTTGCTCCACAAAAAATTTGCTTGTATTTTACGGTCATCACGCCGGCCATTGAAGGAAATTCATTGACACCCGTCTCACCATCCCAATCGTTATTTGTCTGCGAGGTGGTGGTCACTTTCACTACTGCTATTGAAGTTGCTGATGACCGACCGCATTCACATGTTGCCTCAATCGTTTCGATTAAGCATGAAAAAGAGCCGCCAATTTCTGCATGGTCTTGATGGCTGGTAAAGATTTTGCCGGCACGTTTAAAGGAAATCTTACAACGTCTCTGAGCACTTTTAACTTTTGAAGAAACACTTGTTGTTACGCTTGTTGCTTGTATTGGTTTTGTAAAAGTTTTTGTACCAATTTTGTTAGACAACAAGGCAATCACATAACCGAACAATGCTCGTTCATGGGCAAGCAATGGTTTTAAAAAAATCATTGAAATGTTAGCAAAGGCGAAGACGGTGCTTGTGTTGTTGCTGGCAGCTACTGTTGCACTTGAAGTTATTGTTGTTGTTCCTGCTATTTGTTTCCTCTTTCGTTCTTTCGTTACTCTTCTTTCACTTAGTCTCGGTTTAGTTAAAGTGCTTAAGCTACCACTTTTAGTGCCACTATCGGAAATTGTTATATCTTCATTTATTGCCATTGCTTGCCTGGCATACCTGTTGTTGTTGTTGTTATTGTTGTTATTGTTAGCGTTGTTCTTGTAGTCAACTGTTGAAATGTATGAAATTACAGCTTGATTGAGGAAACTTTTTCGTTTGATTTCACCCGAACCACAAAAATACTCTGACTCGGTTAACACCTCGTTGCCCTCAGCATTAAAATAGAAGATTTCCTGGCGACAATCGGTGACAGAAGGGGGCTGTAAAAACATATTTAAAGTAGATTTAAGAGGATCATTGGCATTTGCAATATCTACCAATTTCAGTCTCAGGTTACATTCCAGTTTAATTTGGTAGCCTGTTGGAGCTTTCAGCAGGTACCGGCAAGCACTGCGCGACAGATAGGGCTCGAGATGATAATTTGATGAGTTTATGTACAATTTTTCATTCGCCTTCAGATTAATTACATGATTGCAATTTTCAAATAATGCCTGAACCTTAATGAGCACATGTAAGAAATTGTAAACAATACTTAAATATCTAGTAGGCAGCATTAACTTGACAGTTCTTTCTTCGTTTGTTTAATAACTAAACTCGCAACTGTTGGGCTTTCTTGTACGCGTTTGAATTTAAACCAAACACCTTTTCATTGAAATCAACCGTTTAAATAGCGTTTACCAATACTGATGGGAAGTTACCTAGGAAACGTAAAAACAGTTATTCACCGTTAAATCTAAATAAGACGTTAGAAGAAAAAAAGGAAGTAAAGTCTTTCTAAGAAACAAAGTAACAAAGTAACTAAACGTCTCAAGTAGATAAGGGTTGATTTTCATTTACTTAGGTTTACTTTTTCCTCTTACTCTTTTTTCTTCCTTTGTTTGTTGAGACCACTTTACAAGATTTCAACTGTGCTGGAATGCAAACTTCTCTGTTTGTTTTACTGTTGATTCTAAATAAAGTGATAAATCACTTTACAATCATTGACTTGTTATGGCTGAATTGTACCTCCTAAGGCAATGCGAGTTATATTAAGATATATTTAAAAAATATTGTATTAATGATCAACTTTTCACACACTTAAGCTCCCGGGTAAATAAAATAATACTTTTCTCTCGCATAATTTGATGTTTGTTTAAGTTAAAGATAACGTTTAGTAAATTGGTTTAATTTGTTTATATATCAGGAAAAACTTTGAAATGAAGTCAATAAAGATTTCTCCCATTTTTGTAATTAAAACAACTAAGCCACGGGGCGTTTGTTGCGTTCTAGCAAATGATGTATCATGTTTGTTTGGGAAACACAATCGGAAGAATAAGTTAATGTTACAACAATAAAATATATTAATAGGTATATGTATCTATATCATAAACGAATTCATTTTTTAGTGTTTAAATAATTGTTTAACATAAATGAGAGAAAATAAAATCATCGCGATTTTGAGTTGATCACAGTTGATCACATCGAAGCCTCCAAACCAGTTACGTAGGGATTTTCCAAGCAATGAAAACTACATAGAGCTAAACTCCGTAAAGAGTTTTCATGAGTATGTGTTTCGATACCCACGACAGTCACAGTTCGTAATATTCTACTCTCGGATTATTGATTCAACACAGCAATGGCACAGCTCTAGCATTCATATTATCTATAATGGGGCAATGTCGCGCCCCTAGCCACACTGTTGCACATTTCACTGATCGCAAGGTTGCGCTCACAGGTATGTGAGACCTCTTTACTGGTCTATCACATAAGAAAAAAGTGCAAAAGAAGACGATTTCCCGATGACGATTTCCCCATGGATAGTTCCCGTCGTTGTTCACAAAAGTTGACTAGAGGAGGTAAATGAAACTTGAGCTTTCATAGCAGAATAAGTCATCCTTGAAAGATCTTGCCCTTTAAACAACATAAAGATATAGAAAAATATGTTTTTATTCGGCTTTTGGTTATCTCTTATTGGTATTTTCCTTTTCTTTGCTTTGGTGATATTTGGGCTTAGTTAGCGAAGTTAAATTAATTTATTTGATTCAATGGCTAGCAAAATTCAATAATAAATACCTTTATTGAGTATTTCAGCTAATTACGTTAGGCGAAATTTCACATACAATTTTCGAGAGTTAAGCCGAAGTAAACTTTTAGACATTCTATGCTGGTACGTACGGTTTGTTAGATGAGTTGATCGATTAGATTAAAAGACAAGGTAGCTGTTTGCTTTTCTAGTCAATTGATATTCCTTTCTTTTAATTGCATTAGAATTAGTTGTGCGTAGTTGTCGGGAATAGTTTTTTCAAAAAGGGAAACATTTTAGTTGCTATTATCTCGAAACTATGCCTCACTTTATAATATTCCATTAAGGCCAAAGTTATGCTTTGTTTTTCCCAGGGCATGTATTTTTAACAGTTTTTCCCAATTCTAATATTTTCCATAAGAAAAGTTTTTTTCTTTTTTTTTTTTTTTTTTAAATCCATTAACAAGCTTTCAATTTTTTTTTTTTTTTTTTTGGTATAGGATGGAGTATATATATAATGTATGCAGCATAAATTGATTTGAAACTTAGTAAAGAAATTATAGGAAAAATTCTACATGAGTATATAAAACGGAATAGAATTTTTAATTGAATCGCTTTTTTTTTTTTGGAATTGGATGTAAATTAAAAGAGAAAAATTTTTTATTTTTTGAAAATTTATATCATCAGTGAGTAGAAAACTCTTAGTGCAATATAATAAAAAAGCAGCAATTTAGCTAACCTATTTTGTTGTTGTTGATGCCTGGTGTTTTGGTTGTTTAGTTGTTTAGTTTGTTGTTTTTGTTATTTACTTTTTTTTTCAATTTTATCGCTGATGGTGCCATTAATGTACGAGTGAGTAAGACTTAGCCAACAGCAGCGGCATCAACGAACCAACTAATACCAATACTGCCTACCATGTACCATGTACCACGTACCTAGATGCAAATACGAAACATAAAAATTGCAATTTTTCTAGTAGACAATTTTCTCTTACGTTTGCCTATTGGTTGCATTGAGCAAATGAATACATAAGCAATAAGCTATAAAAAAGAAAAAAAAAAACCATTTCTATATGCATGTCAGGGGGATACTCTCGTTACCCAACCAACGCATGAGCCTAAATGTTGAAAATAGAATTCAATGTTGTTTTCTTTTTTTCACTTTTTTCTCTTTTTATTTTTTTCATTTTCTTTTTGATATTTTGAGCTGCAGTTTTATAGATTGCATCCTAAATGTATGCTCTGCCATGCTTGGCTGTGTTTAAAAAGAAAATTGTTTGGTTACGTTGAAAATTTCAAAAGCTTGCTTTACTGCATTTTAGGGTTGTTCTTTTATACAATACGTAACTCTTATGCAGTCACAGTTACATAAATAAAAATGGAAAAAAAAAGAAGAAAAAACGTTCAACCAAAAACAAAAAAAAGACTAACATTTAATTATTTATCTCTCTTCTAGCTGTTCTTATTGCCGTTGCATTGCATTGCTTAGGGTTGAGAGATCTAATATTGACAATTCGTTTCTATATTGAATTTTATTGAAGGGTTGTGCTCTTTAGTTATTGAAATTAATTGGAAAAAAAAAAACGTTCATCTTTTATTTATTGCAATTAAGAGAAAAATAAAAAAAAAAAACAAGTAAAAAAAAATTGGAAAAAAGAAATGTAGAAAAATCTCATTGATTGACTCTAAGTGCTGCCTACTTATAGGTGTTAATTATTTGACATTTCCAGCTAATTGCATTTCAAGTTATTTAAAATACAATTTAACAAGCATAAAGTGTTAATTGGTTCACACCTAGCTGTCGAGAGAGGGAAAAAAAAATTGAATCCTTCAATCATATCAAGGCAGCGTTTCTACAAAAGGCTGTCCTTCAAAATAAAAAAAACGTATATGCATAAAAATTATATTATATAATAGAGAGAAATGCAGCGTCTTATTTTATCTTAAGTAATTTTTTTTTTCGGGCTGGGAACACAAAACGGAAATTTAAATATAATGATCGCAAGCGAAAATGCATAAATTTCTGGCACACGAATGTAAACATGCCTTTTTGTACAGGTTCAGGTTATGTCCGAAGTCTATGACAAGCCGATCGAACTGCACTGCTGCACCGATTTGGTCTACGTTAATAGAAAGTTATCTACTGAGGGGGTCAGCTTTCCCTTAACGAAAATTTTCCGCAAATAAAATTTCTTGCAACATATCCCCTTAAGGTGTTTTCTCTACATACATGAAGCATACTATAATTTTGTAGAACATATATTTGAGTAAGCAGCGATTGTACCGTCCCCACTTTGCACTCCCTCCCGTTCCCCGGCGTTAGTTCAGTTGATTGGGGATTCTTAATGAAACTTATCTCCTAATCTTAGTCTCCTAAATCTCTCACAAGTTTACCATCAGTGTTGAAAAGACGTAACTCGATTGGGTGCGACATTTACGATTAAACTGTTGAATACGAAAATTGCCACTTACGGCGTCCAGTTCCGTGTCAACACTCTTACTTCACTTCTTCAATTCAACTATAAATTGAGCAGAATTATCCGCAATTGTCCGCATGACTAGTCGAGTAGGTAAAAATCCCAAGTATATAGTACAGTGCGCGGGTTCAAATATCAACTGCGTTAGATTGTACGTTGGTCGCAGCTGCAATGAGTACTCAGTCGGTAACCGCGTAACACTAACCGTTTGATCGCAATAATAAATCACTAGCGATCTGTTGCATCAGAAATAATTAAACTTATAATAAAAAGACAAATTTAATTATTTTTAGCCTTAGTTTAGATTCCCAACTGAATGATTTAATTAAGTTTTGCTTGTGGTATCACCTGAGCACTAAAGTTATTTCTTGCAAGTCACCTAACGTTATATTGTGTACCCTTTATACCATATTATAAGTTTCATTTATATATCAATTATCGTACTGGTTATTGAAGCTTCAGACAGTCGTACGAATTTTGTTGCTGAGTATTGAATAAATAAAGAAATAAATGAAGACAACAATAGCAATTTTTCTTCTTCCTCTGGCTATAATCGAAAAAGACCTCCCTAGACTTTTCCTTTTTTTTTTTTTTTGATGATCACTCAGGGATTGTTTTTTAATTCATCTAACTCGCTCTTGCCGAAGAGAGAAAACGGATAGGAAAATCGTGGGTGCAGCATAGCAATAAACTTTACCGCACTTGAAATTTGAGCGCGCGAACCAGTTTAAAGTGAAGATATGTTCAAAATCAAATTTAAGGACCTTATGCCACCAAAAAATTTTCGCTTACATCCATAATAATCCACTATTATGGACTTGCTACATAGGCAGATAAAGATGTTTCTACCTTTTTGTATAGACCTGCAGATGCAGATCGGCAGTTAATTAATATCTTTTTATTTTTTAAACATTTTCTGTTGTTTTGGTTGAATATTACGTTGCGCAGTGTTAATAACAGGATACTTTCTTAGACCTTTTGTATGCTGCGACATACTCGTAATGAGCAGTGGTATTTCTCAGGTTTAAAACTTTGAGTTGTTATGTTATCTAAATGTATCATACATAATCTGATCGAATATCAATTTTTATATAATTT